TCACCTGCCCAAACGAACCGCACCAAAAGGGGAAACGAACTCTAGTGCGATTCAATCGAACTAAATAAGGCAGGTGTGAAAGCACCCTAAAGCGTGATAGCCAGACGATAGGATCTGGCTGGCAGAAGAGAGAAAATAAATAAATAAAGCACATGGTTTAATTAAAAAGGCAATTTAGTATTATGTTCGGATAAGACACAAGCTCAAGGTCAACAGGGTAAAGAAAACCGGGAAGAAAGAAAGAAGTGTTCTAACAAGGCAAGGATTGGACAGGTGCTGTAATCCATTTCAGTCGTAAGCTCTGCTCATGCACTCCAAAATGCTCTTTTAATCTGAACACCATGTTTTAAACAGCTGTAATGTTCCCCAGGCCAAGTTTTTTTTTTCTACGCCCACTGCTTCTCTCCTTATCTACACTTTACTTCCTCCAAATCACTCGTTTTTCTCACTCCCAGTCCTGCCTTTGCCGCTACTTGCTCCTTTTCTGCTTCCTTGCCCTCTCTTTAAGGTGTGATCTATATTCAATGACAGATTAATGAGCGTTTTCCTATTTCAGGGAGCCTCTACGCATCATTAGAGAAAAAAAGTCTGATGAATAATACATCAGAGAATCAGCTATATAGGAGAACATTGTAGCGTTGGTGAAGCCGGTGAGGTGCTTTTGTTGTACATGACCAGCTCTTCTTGCTAATTGTCTGTGTGGACTACGTAACAGGGCAGCCCACGAGTAAGCAGGAAAGTTAAAACGAATGAAAGCATAGAAACTCTAAAACAATGCACGGTCTACTTGGCTATTGTTTCCAAGAGGCCTCTTCGGAACGGTGCATGTCAATTTAAACCCCAATGGGTCCGCCGAGTTCTCTAAAGCACATGCCCCCTTTACACAAAGCCCCCAGATTTTACTTTCCATACACTTGAGGAGTGTAGAGGAGTTTTAGCTCCGTCAGCTTAATTGGACCGCTTCCCAACGGCGAGATGCTGTAGCCCATCTTAATTGGCTTCTTTTTAGGCATGCCAGCAATCCCATTGGACGGTTGCTTGGAGGGTCTCCATGGATACACCAAGCGTTCTGTGGCGAATTTTGGAACAAAAGGCTGGTGGGCCTCTCTCACCCACTCTCCGTGTTACAGACTGTGCTCAAAGCAAACAATGCCTGACCACAACTTTACAGCCATGACTGGTGGCGACAAGGAGGTTATTGTCGCTGAGGATTTCCCTCCATCAGCCTGGCGCTTTAGGGGCATTTCCACACTTATAATGTTGTCACATTGGCATTGTAGGGGTGCCAAGCACATACATTTCCGATAAAGGCAGGGCACTGAGCCTGGACGTGTTACATGTTTGTATTACCTTTCAGTGACAGTGGTGTCACCCTGACATATGCCTTTGCCTGTGCAGGCCTGTTCCTGACACCCCATAATGAGCACCTGATAACGTGTTCCCCCCTGATCCCGGAGACTTCCTGTCGGTGCTAATGAGCTTCTACGGACCACAAGCACACTTGCGCACACATGATCCGACCCTGTCACCCAGCAGCATAATGAGTCCTCAAAAACACCTTCACTTGCTTCCCAGAGATCTTCACTGATGCCGTGTCTGCTGTCGATCTCCTAATTGTGTGTATTTGTTTGCCCAAACGTGTCCTTGTCTCCGAGGAGACAGTATACAAATTTCTGGCTGCGCGGTAGATACCTGAAGCTGCTTTAGAGTGTCCATGGTGACACGCTTTCCAACAAGAATCTGCTTGGCGCCTAATTCCGAGACCAGAGGAACTGATTCTCTCGTTAAGGCTGGGACAAGATGGAAATTTGTTGCAGATCATTGTGAAATTTCAACTTTTTCTGAGCACATCGTTTACTTATGGGGGCATACTTGGAGTATATTTCATGAAAGACACCTCATGCTGTTCTAACTTCTTTCCACTGTATTTCCAATGTGATGCATCAGCCTCTTGGATTGTATTTTCCCATCAACCCTAAAAAAAATGCTGTTATTTTTTTTCCTCCCAAAGAACGCCGACCACAGCAAACTTATCAGTCCAGCTGGAGGAATCAATCACGGCCGGTGGCATTTTGCGCTGTGGGCTTGTTTGTGAATCTGTTGTCTGTGGTGCCTTGACAATTCCTGCGTATGATTGCTAGGACCCTTGAGGTGTAAGCTTTTGAAGATTTTTATTTATTTTTTTGGTATGTACTTTAAAGGATGTTGTCTTCTACTATTTCAGCTTGGCTTCTTTCTGCTCCTCTAATTCTGTAGTAATATTTATGATGCGTTCTAATCTTAACATCACTTTCATCTCTTTTCCTCTCTCTCACCAACTCTTACCTTTTAATCTATGCACATATTTAAATGTGGTTACAGTTAGATATAGATGACAACACTTGAAATAAACTATAAAACTGTGAAACATTTCAACTTATATTTTTTTCTATTTGCACTTTTATAATTAGCATTTTCAATTGTTGTATGTTTTCAGACTAACCGGCCACTTTATTAGGTACAGCTGTCCATCTGCTCATTAACGCAAATGTCTTATCAGCTAATCACATGGCGGCAACTCAATGAATTTAGGCATGTAAACATGTCCAAGACGATCTGCTACAGTTCAAACCGAGCATCAGAATGGGGAATAAAGGTGACTTTGAACGTGGAATGGTTGTTGGTGCCAGACAGGTTGGTCTGAGTGTTTCAGAAACTGCTGATCTACTGGGATTTTCACACACAACCATCTCTAGGGTTTGCAGAGAATGGTCCGAAAAAGAGAAAATATCCAGTGAGCTGCAGTTTTGTCGGTGCAAACTATTTGTTGATGCCAGAGGTCAGAGGGGAATGGCCAGAATGTTTTGAGCTGATAGAAAGGCAACAGTAACTTAAATAAAAAACGTTACAACCATCTGCAGAAGAGCATCTCTGAACGCACAACATGTCAAACCTTGATGCGGATGGGCTACAGCAGCAGAAGACCACACTGAAGGATTAAGGCAGTTCTGAACGCAAAAAGGGATCAAACACGGTACTAGTAAGGTGTACCTAATAAAGTGGCCGGTGAGCGGTGAGTGTGTGTGTGTGTGTGTGTGTGTGTGTGTGTGTGTGTGTGTGTGTGTGTATATATATATATATATATATATATATATATATATATATATATATATATATATATATATATATATATATATATATATATATACACAGTTGAAGTCAGAATTATTAGCCCTCCCTGAATTATTAGCCCCCCTAAATTATTAGCTCCACTGTTTATTTTTTCAGATTGTTTCAGCACATTTCTAAGCATAATAGTTTTAGAAACCTATTTCTAATAACTGATTTATTTTATCTTTGTCATGATGACAGTAAATAATATTTTACTTGATATTTTTCAAGACACTTCTATACAGCTTATAGTGACATTTAAAGGCTTAACTAGGTTAATTAGGTTAACTGGGCAGGTTAGGGTAATTAGGCAAGTTATTGTATAACGATGGTTTGTTCTGTAGACTATCAGGAAAGAAAATAGCTTAAAGGGGCTAATAATTAAAAAAATGGTTTTTAAAAAATTAAAAACTGCTTTTATTCTAGTCGAAATAAAACAAATAAGACTTTCTCCAGAAGAAAAAATATTATCAGACATACTGTGAAAATGTCCTTGCTCTGTTAAAAATAATTTGGGAAATATTAAAATAAATAAAATAAAATCAAAATGGGGCTAATAATTCTGACTTCAACTGTGTGTGTGTGTGTATATATATATATATATATATATATATATATATATATATATATATATATATATATATACATACACACACATATATATACATATATATATATATATATATATATATATATATATATATATATATATATATATATATATATATATATATATATATATATATATATATATATATATATATATATATATATATATATATATATATATATATATATAATTTTTTATATTTATTTATATATATATTTATGTGTGTGTCTGGACTCTGTAGCATCCAGCTACATGTTTTTTGGTAGGTCTATTTAATCGCACGTCATGCGGCACTTATGTCTCATCACAAAGAGGCAAGCAAAACTGACATCTAGCCAACAATCCTTGCACAACCTACGCTTTTATCTGTTATCTCTCTCTCTTCTGATAGTACCCAATTTAAACATGAGATTTTGGAAACCAGATCTAAATGTAGCGGGAACAGTCGGGTAGAAAACAGAGTGGGTCGGGCAGCGGGTGAACAAAGGCTGAATATACTGTACGGCGGGAGCAGTTGGGTGCGGAATAAAACCTGATGAGAGTGAGGCTAAAAATTCAGTCCAGTGCAGATCTCTTTTTAGGAGTCTCTTTAACACTTATGTTTATTTATAATAAAGAGATGACATATTTTGTTTAAATATTTTAGATTTTGTCTATTTAAACTATTTGCCTTAGTAATGTTGGTAAATTAAAATAAAGTGGTTAAATAAAAAACTCCTAATATCCCTAAATGTATTGTTAAAAAATATTCAATAATTATCTATATCGAATGATAAGAAACATAATATTGTGATAATTTGTTTCGCAATATCGCCCAGCCCTAGGTTCGCAAGTGTGTTCCATGTCAGCATGTCTGTCTTTGTTTTGTACTCTATAACCAGCCCACTGCCAGTTTATTTAGCTGTATTTTAAACATATATCAATGTTAATTATATTTTAATAAATTAAGAAAGCAGTGCACCAAAAGAAATAAGTATATTTTGGATGTTTTCTTCACATAACACTGAAGAAGAAAAAAAAACACTTTATGAAGAGCCAAAAAACTACAAATCTGAAAATGACAGGTGTGTGTTTTTGCCTGCAGTGTCTCTCCTTAAACACCCTTTGCGGCTCTTTCTCTCCCCCTGCCCGTCTTCTGTCACTCCGTACTGTGAGCCAAGAGGACATTTGTCTACATTCACCTGCTGACCTCAAACTGCTGTCAGAACACACACACACACACACGCGCGCACACACTTACCACTGCGCTGGAGGAGTTGAAGTTCTCCACACCTTTATCTGTAACAAAGAGGAGAACAATGCGGCATAAGGAACACACACACACACAGCCAAAATAAACACATAAGTATAACTATTTACATTTATATATAATATAAAATGTGGTTGAGGCTAAATTTTGTTTAGAAGTTTTAATTAAAAAAATTAAATTAAATTAAAGTAATTAATTAAATAAAGAACAGTTTTTTAGAAATATTGATGGAGTAATTTATTATTCGCTATGCTTATCTGGCAAAAATGAAGCCTATTATATTATTATATTTACGATACATATACACCCAGATATATATTGAGATGAACACAGGTACATTAATCATACAGATTTGCAACTGTTTATTCCATTACATATTATATTTAAGTGACAATTATTAAGTGAAATAACTGTTTTAAATAATAAACTGGATTTTAAAATGGCTTTTAAAAAATGAAAAACTGCTTTTATTCAAGCCGAAATAAAACATGTAAGACTTTCTCCAGAAGAAAAAATATTATAGGAAACACTGTGAAAAATTCCTGAATCTGTTAAACATCATTTGGGAAATATTTGAAAAAAAAAATAATAATAATGATAATAATTCACAGGAGGGTGAATAATTGTCTTCAACTGTGTATGTGCTGTACCTGTAAAGCTCATGTATTTCTGGTTGTTGGACGTCTCTTTCGAGTCGTAGAATTTGAGCACGTCTAGAACGGCCTGAGGATTCTTCTTCTGCTCCAGTTTGGTGATGTTGGACGTCTGGAGTAATCGAGCCCACTGCTCAGGCATGCCCTACATACACAAACACAGAAACACCACTGAAAACCACTGCAAATCTGGGTTATCTCAAAGCATCTGGCTAAAAGCAGCTCCCAACTTGCCCATTATTTTGAAGATTTTTTCCCTAAATCAGCAAAGCAGACCTAAATATAGGACTGTTCTAAATTTTTGCTCCAAGATTATTTCACAAAGCATTTTACTGTTAAATCTAGGGTATAAATCAGTGAAACGTTAGAAGTGAAGAGGATTCATAAATCGTCAAACTTCAAACTATCCTAAAATACAAGCAATCTGTCTCATATTCTTCTTTATTAGGCACACCTGTCCAACTGCTCGTTAACACAAATTTCTAATCAGCCAATCACATGTCAGAAACTTAATGCATTTAGGCATGTAGACTTGATCAAGATGATCTGCTGCAGTTCCACACTAGCATCAGAATGGGGAAGAAAGGGGATTTAAGTGACTTTGAACATGTCATGGTTGTTAGTGCCACATGGGCTGGTCTGAGTATTTCAGAAACTGCTGATGTACTGGCATTTTCACGCACAACCATCTCTAGGGTTTACAAGAATGGTCTGAAAAAGGGAAACTATCCAGTGAACGGCAGTTCTGTGGGCACAAATGCCTTGTTGATGCCAGAGGTCAGAGGAGAATGGCCAGCCTGGTTCCAGTTGTGAAGGCAAAAGGGGGTCAAACCTGGTACTAGTAAAGTGTACCTAATAAAGTGGCCGGAAGTGTTTGTTTACAAATAGAGTTTTACAATTACAGAAATATGTTTAGCAATATAGTTTTACGTTTCAAAATGCACAAAATGGTTACAAAATATAATTTTATTAATATATATACAAATATATGCTCTATAAATACAAACTTAGCATTTTTATGAAGTCATTTTCTATGAACATACATTAACATTACTGTAAGAAAATCTATAACATTAACAACAACAAAAAATAAGTTACAATCTAGTTCTTCACTTAGACTGCATTTGAAATACGTTAATTTTAATATTTTTATTTTTAAACCATTATTTAATATTTGGCAATTGATTCTTAGTGGTTTGATGACCTCATGATCTATTATGATCCTCAGTCATATATATATATATATATATATATATATATATATATATATATATATATGAAGAGTTTAGTTTAAAAAACGTGATAGACGCCATTTTTGACATTTGGATTTTATTATTGGAAATCGCTGTTCAGATGTACCTTGATCTATGTGTGAATTGCTGCCATCAATAATATTTAGGAATGTACATTTTAGGCCGAGTACAAAATGTATTTTTCACAAAACGCGATATCCTCCAGACTAGTTTCTTTACAAAGTGCGATATAACAGTTATAAAACGTTCAGGATGCAGCGTGAGCTCAGCATGCCCTGGGAAGAGAGTTGCCGCCGGTGAAGTGCTCCGAGTTTGCTCATTGATTTAGCGATAGAAGATGAAGCCTTCAACTTCACAAAAATTTATAAAAATGCTACAAAAGTGGACCAGAACAAAATAACTCTGCGTCTGTCAACAATACACAAATGCAGCAGGGAACAAGTCTCCACTGATGTCAAGAGGAAGGCCAGGGAGCGCCTTCTTTCCTGCGCTCCTTCCCATCACAAGATACCTGTCTGCAAGGAGACATTTCCAAGTGTCCTTTGTAAGTTTATTTTTTAAATAATATCAAACATGTAGCTGAGTAGCCTCTCTGAAGATTTATTTGTGCGGTTGCACCTATTATTTATAGCCTAAAACCTCACGTTAATTCTTGCTGTTGTTAATTTATTACAAGGGAACAAAAAGGGCACAGGTTGTTATAGGGGAAAAAAACGGTTTGGCTTTTTCACAACAACCAATAAATAAGCTGCTATTATTATTATTACCGTGTAATAATTCATTAAATATGACGGACAAGGTGAGCTAGTGTCGCCGACTCTGTGACACCGCAGCTCCGCCTGCTCTGATCATACAGGTTTGGTTTTCAGCAGCGGTGTGGAAGGAGCCGCCCTTCACTCTTTCTGTAATAAGCTACAAGTCGTTTATTTAACTAACCTAATCTTACTTATCAAACAAAACATTGATTCACTCGCTTTTCTTCATGGTATTACAGTAGTAGAATATAGCCTAAGGGGGATATATAGCATTTTGCAAAAAAACAAAAACAAGTTATGTTATGTTATGTTGTGTACGTTCTGGACAAATCTTACTCAGAATTTTATTATTATTAATCAATCTTTGTACATATTATTCCATATATTTATGATGTATAGTTTTTTTTTTTACCAATTTAAGATGTTTGACAATGTTAAGATTTATATGTTGCATTTTGACATGGTTTTTGACTTATTTATGAACTATTTATGGACATAAAATAAAATAAAAAATATCCTGAATTTGAAGAATATTGTGCTCCTGGCCTTCACTGAGCTCAAGTAATAGTGTAATGTACAAAAATTGTGAATGAACTTGACTGTTGATGTCTTAAATAATAATATCAAATAACCAACATTTTTCAAAATGGATATAAATCGTTTTGCAACGAAACTCTTCATATATATACACATACTTTTTTATAATATAGAATATATGCTTTTGTAATAATAGTGTATATAGAGAAATCGGAGCACTTACAGTGAACTCTCCAGTGACTGCGTCAAAGCCAACATGGATGGTGTGCTCAAAGTCTGATGGCAGGGAGATCTCTGGACGCTCCTTTTTCTTATTGGCTGAATGGGCAGGATTGGGGTGGAGTCACCGATGGGAATAAAAAAAGTTAGCAGAAATTCCCAATTATGGATTTTAAAGATGTAAAAAAATGGTATAAATACAGAGTAACAAAGTTTTCATCCATCCACATCCATCTACCCATCTAGTAATCATTTTCTTCAATTGAACAAAAGAAAGAAAGGAACGAAAGAAATGAATGAAAGGAAGAAAGAAATGAAAGGAAGGAACGAATGGTAGGAAAGAATGAAACGAACTAACGAACGAACAAAACAAACAAAAGGAATAAATGGACAAAAGGAAAGGAACAAACAACTTAACGTAAGGAACGAACAAAAAGAATGAAACAAAACAAAAGGAACAAACAGAACAAACAAAAGAAATGAACAAAACAAACAAATGAAAGAAAGAAACAAAAGGGACTAATTGAAAGAAATTAAAAGAACGAATAAACAAACGGAACGAATTATTTAACTAACAAATGAAATAAAAGGAACAAACGAGCGAATGAACAAAGGAAAAAGAAAGAACAGCATGAAGGAAGGAAAGAAATAAAAAAGAAAGAAAGAAAGAGAAAAAAAGAAAGAAAGAAAGAAAGAAAGAAAGAAAGAAAGAAAGAAAGAAAGAAAGAAAGAAGGAAAGATGTTATACATGATAAAAAAACAGGTAGCAACATTTTTAATCATTTATCCCCATTCATCTACCCTGCCCTTCATCTAGTATAACAGTTCTGTTAAATTGAACTAATGAAAGAAAGGAGTAAAAGAAGCGTATGAAAGGAATGAAGGAACAAACAAATAAAGGAAATGAATGAAAGTAATTAATGGAACAAACAAACCAAAGGAACGAAAGGAACAAATGAAAGAAAGGAACAAACGAGTGAAAGGAAAATAAACAAAGACTGAAGAGTGATCGAACAAATGAACAAATGAACGAAAGGAATAAAGTAAAAAACTATCAAACAAAAGGAACAAACGAAAGGACCAAACGAAAGAAACAAACAAATGGAATGAACGAATGGAACAAAAGAACGAAAGGAATGAGAGAACGAACAAAGGAACGAAACGAATGAATGAATGGAATAAACAAACGGAACAAAAGAAACGAATGGAACAAACAAATGAAAAGAACAAAAGGAACAAATCGAAAGAAAAAAACGAAAGAATGAACGAACAAAATGAACTAATTAACGAAACGTCAGAAAGAAAGAAATGAAATAGAGAAGAAAAGGAGGAATTTTAGATTATTTCCCAATAAACCTCAAACGTGACTTGCTAACATGGATGCAGTTCATTAGAGTAAATGAATGACGGTGAATGAAAGTCAAACCGGTAAGCCGTCTGACAAAATAGTGCCCTTCAGAATCAAATCAGCAGGATGCCCTCTGGATCTTTCACTTACTTCTAAGACACGACTGACTACGCTTACATGGACATCAGTAATCGAGTTATTTGCCTTAATAGACAATAATATAATGAAGGTGTTTACGTGAAGTGCTTTCATGTAAGAGTTCCTGTAATTTTGGCTGACTTTAACTGCAGTTCAGCAGTTTCACTTTTACTCATGAACATTTCATTCATGCCCCGTGACAAACTGGGGTATTAGACACAAATAAGGAGTAAGAACTGTTATGAAATTTAATAACTAATGAAAAACAAAATGTCAGCATTTTGCAATGTGTGTGTGTGTGTGTGTGTGTGTGTGTGGTCCTTTACTGACAGCCACGTGTGTGGATCTTGTCATAAAAAAAATATAGTGAAAAGTCCTACATGACAGTAATAGTTTGATTGCGGTGTTTACTACAGTAATGCCACTAATATCTGCATGCTCCACATGTCTTAATTTCATTTCTGTTTAGTTCAGTTAAGACTTTATTCAGATTAAGGTGATGAAATAATATGATAAAATGAATAGCTTATGTAGGCAGTTCTACAGTTCAAACATCATGTTTAATTGAATAAACAGCGAGTAAACACAAGTACATCTTATTCAGCATCATTTATTTTCATCACCAATTATCACAGTAACAGTTTCTCAAGCAGTTTGTGATGCATTTTGGAAACAGGGATGAGCCCCTGGTCTAATGCGACACCTGGCTAGAGAAAAATTTGAGCCAATTCAAATGAGCCATTTTAATCTATATGAATTCCAAGATTACAGTGAGATCCAGATTAAAAAATTTATCTATGCCCACCTATAATATATATATATATATATATATATATATATATATATATATACACAGTTGAAGTCAGAATTATTAGCCCTCCCTGAATTATTAGCCCCCCTAAATTATTAGCTCCACTGTTTATTTTTTCAGATTGTTTCAGCACATTTCTAAGCATAATAGTTTTAGAAACCTATTTCTAATAACTGATTTATTTTATCTTTGTCATGATGACAGTAAATAATATTTTACTTGATATTTTTCAAGACACTTCTATACAGCTTATAGTGACATTTAAAGGCTTAACTAGGTTAATTAGGTTAACTGGGCAGGTTAGGGTAATTAGGCAAGTTATTGTATAACGATGGTTTGTTCTGTAGACTATCAGGAAAGAAAATAGCTTAAAGGGGCTAATAATTAAAAAAATGGTTTTTAAAAAATTAAAAACTGCTTTTATTCTAGTCGAAATAAAACAAATAAGACTTTCTCCAGAAGAAAAAATATTATCAGACATACTGTGAAAATGTCCTTGCTCTGTTAAAAATAATTTGGGAAATATTAAAATAAATAAAATAAAATCAAAATGGGGCTAATAATTCTGACTTCAACTGTGTGTGTGTGTGTATATATATATATATATATATATATATATATATATATATATATATATATATATATATATATGTATAAGTGTGTGTGTGTGTGTGTGTGTGTGTGTGTGTGTGTGTGTGTGTGTGTGTGTGTGTGTGTGTGTGTGTGTGTGTGTGTGTGTGTCTGTCTGTCTGTCTGTCTGTCTGTAGATGCTGCTAATTCCCTTTAAACAACGGCATGCTCTCATCCTCATCTGCGCTTTCTGAAGCCAGGCAGGGTCTTTAATATTAACGATGTGCTAACGGCTGATAATTAACACAGAACAAGCCTCCTGAAACACGAGCTGCAGGACACATACACACACGCACGCACGGACACACAAGCTAGATGAACTCCTGACACACAAATGTTTGGCAATGTGTGTGTGTTTTAAACTGAAAAAGAGTGGAAACTGGAGCCCTGAAACTAAAGAGAATGTGTGATGAAACGAAAGTCTCAAAGGTCAAAGGTTACAGTCATAATGTTGCTACTTACTAAACAGATGTCAGGTGTAAGAGTCTTCATGACCTTTGACCCTGAGCAGTTGCCTACACAGTACATCATAGATATATACACTAGATGTCGCCTGGCCTATTGTTGTCTATTGGACGGAATGCGTCAATAGCGCCGCCATCTTGCTACAGGGTAGCGTTCCTTTGAAATGAATGCGGGACCAAAGTACAGTGGAGGACTGTGGCCATCCAAAGCCAGAGATATACACATATACACATATATCTATGATCGGGAGTTTTCCTGGATGTTAGTATGTAATTTTTTTTTTCTAATTACAAATTTTTTATTTTACATCACTTTTCTACATTGATGGATCAGTGACCGCACGGGCATTCCTGACAAAAAGCTTGTGTTTGTGTGTATAGAAATGTACTATCCACCCTCACCGTTAAATTTGATCTAATCATGTCCTGAAACACAGCTCCTCTCCTGCTTTCACTTCTCATACTGATGGAGGGAGCGATTCGTTTGTGAATGAATCCCCCGAACGACTCTTTCACTAACGTTAGCCGACAATAATACAAGTTTCTGGCAGCGCAGCATCTCGTTGTCATATTTCTTTTGCATTGTTTGCTGATTTTATTCAACAAAACTAGCATAAGCCGAGTGTTTAGTGCGAGTTGGAGCTGCTTTGCTGTATGGTGAATGCAGTAAGTGACTGTTATCATCAATAATGTTACCTGATTAGCACAAAAGTTCAGAACATACAAAAACAGAAAAAAGCTTAATATTACCTATGAAATGTTCTGCCTTTGTGCTTTGATTTCTTTGTTTTCTCGTTTCTACACCGTAGACAGCGCTAAAGTCCCGCATCTTCACGTAATAACACTGTCTTGACTAGTGCGGTTGAATGACATTTGTCCTGGGAGCACTGTACCAATGTGGCGGCGCTATTGACGCATGCTCAGGGTCCCTATGCGATATCTAGTGTATATATCTATGACAGTACAGTAGCGCTGCCCACATTTTCAGGAAATACATTTTCTCATTTATTTTCCCACATGCTCAACATCGAAAGTCTTTAAATATTTCGTTTCTCCATTTAATATTGTATTTGCTTTATTTTCTACTGCACAACATCTATTTCCCCATCATTTAGATTCCTATTGTTGATACTTTAAGATCACGAGTGTTTGTGTAGGCATTGTGTGTGACTCTGTATGTGGCAATACAATGTGAATTGAGTTGTCAGCAGAGAGCATCACTCACTCTTGTCTCCTCCTCCGGTCAGGATGGATCGTATGAATCCCTCTTTCCTCCTCTTGTCCTCTGGATTGGGCGGCAGCGGTTTGGAGCCGTGATTCAGCGGTCCTGAGTCTTTACCGGACGAGCCAATCATAGTGCTGGTGTTCCTCATGGGCGGAGCTGGCGGCTTGTCCTCTACTTCCCCATTGTCTGACATCTTCAGCTGTGGGCGTGGCTAAATCTGAAACACAACCAATCAGAGCTGGTGAGACTGTGAGAAGAGGAGGGGCCAAAGCACATCAAACAGCAGGAGGTTGCTGGAATCAAACCGAAAGCATAATTAGATTGACCAAATTACCACCAATCTTCTCTTAATGGCATTTGGATTAAACGAGGACACAGCAGGAGACAAAACAGCTGAGGCAGGAGGAAAGATCATCTAGTTTTGTGCAAGATAAAGAAAATTAATAGATTTATTTAGCGATCATGCATTAACCAAGGCTTTTATAATGCTTGTTGTTAAAGTGTTGTTTTCCTGAAATACAAATGTGATTATTTTAATATTAATATTAATATAAAATATTATTATATTATATTTTGACTGAGCATGTTTCTTAAGTGACACTGAAGACTGAGTCACAATTAATCACATCCAAAATAAAGGTTTAAATTTACATAATATATGTGTGTGTATTTAGATATATACAAATATATATGTATGTGATACAAATTATATATATATTTAAATAACTATTCTAACTATTATAATAATATAATATAATAACTATTGTTTTTTTTTTTTTGTTTATATGTATGAGTTTGTATTGCATATGCATGACATATAAATACATAATATAAACAAACACACACACATATTGTGTAAATACAAACTTTGATTCTGAATGCAATTGTTTGTGATAAATTTTTGGCCAGCAAAATAAATAAAAAAATAAAAAAATAGATAAAATAATATAAATGCAATTAAAATATTTTAAAATTTAATTAAAATACACAAGTAAATTAAATTAAAAAATAATAAAATTTTAAACAAAAATTAAAAATTTAAATTAAAATAAAATGGAATTAAAATACAATTAAATTAAATTAAAATATAATAAAAATTAATAAAAAATAAAACTGAATTAAAATTCAATTAAAATAAAATGAAAATTTTAATTAAATTAAAATAAATGAAATATAAATTAAATTAGATTATAATTAAATAAAATAAAAATTTAATTAAAATAAAATTTAATTAAAATACAATTAAAATTAAACTATTTTAATTTAAAAAGGGGCTAAGCTGAAAATAAAATGAATAAATGAATAAATTAAATTAAAAATAAATTGAATTAAAATTAAAAAATCAAAATATAAATACAATAAATAAATATAATACAACTAATTAACAGTTCATTAACAGTTTTCATGTGTTGTGATTTACGGTTTATTTATGGTTGTAAATTCTGATCTCTGCTCTGTCGACTTTTGATGTTAAAAATTCAACTCCGCAGTTTAACAAAGTGATTTTTATTGACATTTTAGTAATTCAAAAAAATAAAATGTATAAAAAAATGTTAATATCTAAAGAAATGTGTGTAAAATAACAGAAAAAATGCCGTCAGTTTATTACAAGATATCTGTACCATTAAAACAACACCAACCCAGACATTATAGCACTTTAAACTATTAAAAATGCTCATAAAAGTCACTTTTTTCAAACATTTCAAGGTTAAAAGTTGCTGAAGGAAAGATTAAAGTCCCATAATGCAATTCAAAAGCAGAAATAAATGGGGGGGGGGGAAATTAACCACAAAACACAGAAAACTGCTAATTTATAGATATATTTTATAGAGTACATCATTAACTTTAATTCAAACACTTGAAATGCTCAAACATCAGTCTATCAATAACCTCTAGATAACCAAACTACATTCAGACGGACAGAAAGAGCTCATATACAGTAAAATGCATCTTTTAATAATATAAACACTCCTTACCAAGCAGCGTTCAGCATTCTGACACACAATCTTACTACAGTTCTCAGTACGAAGAGTCAGTCCAGATCTCACCCAGTGTGTGACTGCAGGGTGTGTGTGTGTGGTTTATAAAGGGTCAGGCCTACCCAGATGTGATGTCTCAGCAGACACTATGAGTTTAATCTTTTTCCGAGACATCAATGGTGTAAGATGAGAGCGGAGAATGAGGAAAACAAACACGCGCACACGCACACACACACGCGCACACACACGCACACACACACACACACACACACACACACACACACACACACACACACACACACACACACACACACACACACACACACACACACACACACACACACACACACACACACACAGATAATTCAAAGAGGAAACTGTATGAGCTGTAAACACACTTCAGCCATGAGCAAACACACATGCCACACAAACACACACACAACAAGAGTGTGTTAAAGTCACACAAAAACCTTTATGATGTCCTGTTTTATGATGTCCTGGCATGTGCTGCT